ATCTAAGCCTATAGTAACCACCTGTACAGACTGTTGATCTAAGCATATAGTAACCACCTATACAGACTGTTGATCTAAGCCTATAGTAACCACCGGATAGGCTGTTGATCTAAGCATATAGTAACCACCTGTACAGACTGTTGATCTAAGCCTATAGTAACCACCTGTACAGACTGTTGATCTAAGCATATAGTAACCACCTGTACAGACTGTTGATCTAAGCCTATAGTAACCACCTATACAGACTGTTGATCTAAGCCTATAGTAACCACCTGTACAGACTGTTGATCTAAGCCTATAGTAACCACCTGTACAGACTGTTGATCTAAGCCTATAGTAACCACCTGTACAGACTGTTGATCTAAGCATATAGTAACCACCTGTACAGACTGTTGATCTAAGCATATAGTAACCACCTGTACAGACTGTTGATCTAAGCCTATGGTAACCACCTGTACAGACTGTTGATCTAAGCCTATAGTAACCGCCGGATAGGCTGTTGATCTAAGCATATAGTAACCACCTGTACAGACTGTTGATCTAAGCATATAGTAACCACCTGTACAGACTGTTGATCTAAGCCTATAGTAACCACCTGTACAGACTGTTGATCTAAGCCTAAGCCTATAGTAACCACCTGTACAGACTGTTGATCTAAGCCTATAGTAACCGCCGGATAGGCTGTTGATTTAAGCATATAGTAACCACCTGTACAGACTGTTGATCTAAGCATATAGTAACCACCTGTACAGACTGTTGATCTAAGCCTATAGTAACCACCTGTACAAACTGTTGATCTAAGCCTATAGTAACCACCTGTACAGACTGTTGATCTAAGCCTATAGTAACCACCTGTACAGACTGTTGATCTAAGCCTATAGTAACCGCCGGATAGGCTGTTGATTTAAGCATATAGTAACCACCTGTACAGACTGTTGATCTAAGCCTATAGTAACCACCTGTACAAACTGTTGATCTAAGCCTATAGTAACCACCTGTACAGACTGTTGATCTAAGCCTATAGTAATCACCTGTACAGACTGTTGATCTAAGCCTATAGTTACTGCCGGATAGGCTGTTGATCTAAGCATATAGTAACCACCTGTACAGACTGTTGATCTAAGCATATAGTAACCACCTGTACAGACTGTTGATCTAAGCATATAGTAACCATCTGTACAGACTGTTGATCTAAGTCTATAGTAACCACCGGATAGGCTGTTGATCAAAGCATATAGTAACCACCTGTACAGACTGTTGATCTAAGCATATAGTAATCAGCTGTACAGACTGTTGATCTAAGCCTATAGTAACCACCTGTACAGACTGTTGATCTAAGCATATAGTAACCACCTATACAGACTGTTGATCTAAGCCTATAGTAACCACCTATACAGACTGTTGATCTAAGCCTATAGTAACCACCTGTACAGACTGTTGATGTAAGCATATAGTAACCACCTGTACAGACTGTTGATCTAAGCATATAGTAACCAACTGTACAGACTGTTGATCTAAGCATATAGTAACCACCTGTACAGACTGTTGATCTAAACATATAGTAACCACCTGTACAAACTGTTGATCTAAGCCTGTAGTAACCACCTATACTGACTGTTGATCTAAGCCCATAGTAACCACCTGTACAAACTGTTGATCTAAACCTATAGTAACCACCTGTACAGACTGTTGATCTAAGCCTATAGTAACCACCTGTACAGACTGTTGATCTAAGCATATAGTAACCAACTGTACAGACTGTTGATCTAAGCATATAGTAACCACCTGTACAGACTGTTGATCTAAACATATAGTAACCACCTGTACAAACTGTTGATCTAAGCCTGTAGTAACCACCTATACAGACTGTTGATCTAAGCCCATAGTAACCACCTGTACAGACTGTTGATCTAAGCCTATAGTAACCACCTGTACAGACTGTTGATCTAAGCCTATAGTAACCACCTGTACAGACTGTTGATCTAAGCATATAGTAACCACCTGTACAGACTGTTGATCTAAACATATAGTAACCACCTGTACAAACTGTTGATCTAAGCCTGTAGTAACCACCTATACAGACTGTTGATCTAAGCCCATAGTAACCACCTGTACAGACTGTTGATCTAAGCCTATAGTAACCACCTGTACAGACTGTTGATCTAAGCCTATAGTAACCACCTGTACAAACTGTTGATCTAAGCATATAGTAACCACCTGTACAGACTGTTGATCTAAGCATATAGTAACCACCTGTACAAACTGTTGATCTAAGCCTGTAGTAACCACCTATACAGACTGTTGATCTAAGCCTATAGTAACCACCTGTACAGACTGTTGATCTAAGCCTATAGTAACCACCTGTACAGACTGTTGATCTAAGAATATAGTAACCACCTGTACAGACTGTTGATCTAAGCATATAGTAACCACCTGTACAAACTGTTGATCTAAGCATATAGTAACCACCCGTACAGACTGTTGATCTAAGCCTATGGTAACCACCTGTACAGACTGTTGATCTAAGCCTATAGTAACCGCCGGATAGGCTGTTGATCTAAGCATATAGTAACCACCTCTACAGACTGTTGATCTAAGCATATAGTAACCACCTGTACAGACTGTTGATCTAAGCATATAGTAATCACCTGTACAGACTGTTGATCTAAGCCTATAGTAACTGCCGGATAGGCTGTTGATCTAAGCATATAGTAACCACCTGTACAGACTGTTGATCTAAGTCTATAGTAACCACCTGTACAGACTGTTCATCTAAGTCTATAGGAACCACCTGTACAGACTGTTGATCTAAGCCTATAGTAACCGCCGGATAGGCTGTTGATCTAAGCATATAGTAACCACCTGTACAGACTGTTGATCTAAGCATATAGTAACCACCTGTACAGACTGGTGATCTAAGCTCATAGTAACCACCTGTACAGACTGTTGATCTTAACCTATAGTAACCACCTGTACAGACTGTTGATCTAAGCCTATAGTAACCACCTGTACAGACTGTTGATCTAAGCATATAGTAACCACCTCTACAGACTGTTGATCTAAGCCCATAGTAACCACCTGTACAGACTGTTGATCTAAACCTATAGTAACCACCTGTACAGACTGTTGATCTAAGCCTATAGTAACCACCTGTACAGACTGTTGATCTAAGCCTATAGTAACCGCCTGTACAGACTGTTGATCTAAGCCTATAGTAACCACCTGTACAAACTGTTGATCTAAGCATATAGTAACCACCTGTACAGACTGTTGATCTAAGCATATAGTAACCACCCTGTTGATCTAAGCCTGTAGTAACCACCTATACAGACTGTTGATCTAAACCTATAGTAACCACCCGTACAGACTGTTGATCTAAGCCTACAGTAACCACCTGTACAGACTGTTGATCTAGGCATATAGTAACCACCTGTACAGACTGTTGATCTAAGCATATAGTAACCACCTGTACAGACTGTTGATCTAAGCCTATAGTAACCGCCGGATAGGTTGTTGATCTAAGCATATAGTAACAACCTGTACAGACTGTTGATCTAAGCATATAGTAACCACCTGTACAGACTGTTGATCTAAGCCTATAGTAACCACCTGTACAGACTGTTGATCTAAGCCTATAGTAACCACCTGTACAGACTGTTGATCTAAGCCTATAGTAACCACCGGATAGGCTGTTGATCTAAGCATATAGTAACCACCTGTACAGACTGTTGATCTAAGCATATAGTAATCACTTGTACAGACTGCTTATCTAAGCCTATAGTAACCACCTGTACAGACTGTTGATCTAAGCATATAGTAACCACCTGTACAGACTGTTGATCTAAGCTCATAGTAACCACCTGTACAGACTGTTGATCTAAACCTATAGTAACCACCTGTACAGACTGTTGATCTAAGCCTATAGTAACCACCTGTACAGACTGTTGATCTAGGCATATAGTAACCACCTGTACAGACTGTTGATCTAAGCCCATAGTAACCACCTGTACAGATTGTTGATCTAAACGTAAAGTAACCACCTGTACAGACTGTTGATCTAAGCCTATAGTAACTGCCGGATAGGCTGTTGATCTAAGCATATAGTAACCACCTGTACAGACTGTTGATCTAAGCATATAGTAACCACCTGTACAGACTGTTGATCTAAGCATATAGTAACCACCTGTACAGACTGTTTATCTAAGCCTATAGTAACCATCTGTACAGACTGTTGATCTAAGCATATAGTAACTACGTGTACAGACTTTTGATCTAAACCTATAGTAACCACCTGTACAGACTGTTGATCTAAGCCTATAGTAACCACCGGATAGGCTGTTGATCTAAGCATATAGTAACCACCTGTACAGACTGTTGATCTAAGCATATAGTAACCACCTGTACAAACTGTTGATCTAAGCCTATAGTAACCACCCGTACATACTGTTGATCTAAGCATATAGTAACCACCTGTAGACTGTTGATCTAAGCATATAGTAACCACCCGTGGAAACTGTGGATATAAGCCTATAGTAACCATTTGTACAGACTGTTGATCTAAGCCTATAGTAACCACCTGTACAGACTGTTGATCTAAGCCTATAGTAACCACCTGTAGAAACTGTTGATCTAAGCCTGTAGTAACTACCTGTATATACTGTTGATCTAAGCATATAGTAACCACCTGTACAAATTGTTCATCTAAGCCTATAGTAACCACCTGTACAGACTGTTGATCTAAGCCTATAGTAACCACCTGTACAGACTGTTGATCTAAGCATATAGTAACTACCTGTACAAACTGTTGATCTAAGCATATAGTAACCACCTATACAGACTGTTGATCTAAGCCTATAGTAACCACCGGATAGGCTGTTGATCTAAGCCTATACTCTGAGCCAGAGAATAGTAATGATGCACAGGCTGGTACTCTGAGCCAGACAATAGTAATGATGCACAGGCTGCTACTCTGAGGCAGACAATAGTAATGATGCACCTACCATAGCACTGTGAGTCAGGGACTGCTTCCACCTTGGCGGTGATGTCGAAGTAGACCTTACACGTGACCGTCCGAGTCCTCACTCCTGTCCCACACGTCACACTGCACACACTCCAGTCCCCGGCTAGGAACCTGCACACAGTGATCTCATGTAGCACAAATGGAAGTATTCCTCTCCCACAAATCATAAATCTGTTAGGCCAACTATTTCTGACCGAATTTATAAAAATAATGAACTGTATTGTACAACTGTGAAAGTGAAGTGTCATAATACGCCTGTGTCACTTTTACAGTCAAAGGTATCTTTGGATTTGGCGCTTTGTGATGCCACTCATTGAGTTCGGTGTCGGAGCCACTGACTGTCATCGACAGACAGTAGGGATGGAGTCGCCACTTACAGAACGCAATACAGTAGGTCTGAAAGTATGCCATGACAGTGGTCAGGTTCCACAAATTTCCACACATTCTCTGACTAAATGTCCCACAATGTTTCTGAGACCATGTGCATCACGCCAATGTCTTTCAGTGCTCTGTCAGCAATCCTCTGGCTTCCTGCTTGTTGTGCCTTCACTTCAGAGGTCAACTTTGTGTCAACTCTGTCTCGAGGGGGTTGTCATCATCAACATTATAACGCATGTGGCGCCTATTCATATCTGTGTTTGTGAATTAAAACTTAAGAACATATTAATGTCAATGGAGAAATAGGCCGCATGAAGCCCCACAGCCAAGGTGAATATATATATTTATTGTGGTTGAACTTTGCATTTGATAAGGTCGATATGACACGTACTATTGCCAGCTAATTGCACGAGTTACGTACTGTAACACAAGTAGGCCAACTCTCTAGGACATACCTGGGTGTGAGTGGTCTCCCCTCATTCCTGCTTCTTATGGATGGGTTGAGAGACTGCAGGCCTACATCCCCACGCCTCCAATCTGCAAGCATTGTAAGGCCAATCAGTTACGATTCTATATCATACACACAATAAACCACCAAAGCCGAATACTTCCTTGTGTAACACATAATCCACTATCACACCCACAACACACTACCTTGTGTAACACATAATCTACTGTCACACCCCAACACACTTTCTTGTGTAACACATAATCTACTGTCACACCCACACACAGTTCCTTGTGTAACACATAATCTACTGTCACACCCCAACACACTTTCTTGTGTAACACATAATCAACTGTCACACCCACAACACACTACCTTGTGTAACACATAATCTACTGTCACACCCCAACACACTTCATTGTGTAACACATAATCTACTGTCACACCCCAACACAGTTCCTTGTGTAACACATAATCTACTGTCACACCCCAACACACTTCCTTGTGTAACACATAATCAACTGTCACACCCACAACACACTACCTTGTGTAACACATAATCAACTATCACACCCACAACACACTACCTTGTGTAACACATAATCCACTATCACACCCACAACACACTTCCTTGTGTAACACATAATCTACTGTCACACCCACAACACACTTCCTTGTGTAACACATAATCTACTGTCACACCCACAACACACTTCCTTGTGTAACACATAATCAACTGTCACACCCACAACACACTTCCTTGTGTAACACATAATCTACTGTCACCCCACACACACTACCTTGTATAACATCAAATCAACTGTCACACCCACAACACACTTCCTTGTGTAACACATAATCAACTGTCACACCCACAACACACTTCCTTGTGTAACACATAATCTACTGTCACACCCCAACACACTTCCTTGTGTAACACATAATCAACTGTCACACCCACAACACACTTCCTTGTGTAACACATAATCTACTGTCACACCCCAACACACTACCTTGTATAACACATAATCAACTGTCACACCCACAACACACTACCTTGTGTAACACATAATCAACTGTCACACCCCAACACACTTGTGTAACACATAATCTACTGTCACACCCCAACACACTTCCTTGTGTAACACATAATCAACTGTCACACCCCAACACACTACCTTGTGTAACACATAATCTACTGTCACACCCCAACACACTACCTGTGTAACACATAATCTACTGTCACACCCCAACACACTTCCTTGTGTAACACATAATCTACTGTCACACCCACAACACACTTCCTTGTGTAACACATAATCTACTGTCACACCCACAACACACTTCCTTGTATAACACATAATCTACTGTCACACCCCAACACACTACCTTGTGTAACACATAATCTACAGTCACACCCACAACACACTTCCTTGTGTAACACATAATCAACTGTCACACCCACAACACACTTCCTTGTGTAACACATAATCTACTGTCACACCCACAACACACTACCTTGTGTAACACATAATCCACTGTCACACCCACAACACACTTCCTTGTGTAACACATAATCTACTGTCACACCCACAACACACTTCCTTGTGTAACACATAATCCACTGTCACACCCACAACACACTTCCTTGTGTAACACATAATCTACTGTCACACCCACAACACACTTCCTTGTGTAACACATAATCAACTGTCACACCCACAACACACTTCCTTGTGTAACACATAATCCACTGTCACACCAACAACACACTTCCTTGTGTAACACATAATCTACTGTCACACCCACAACACACTTCCTTGTGTAACACATAATCTACTGTCACACCCACAACACACTTCCTTGTGTAACACATAATCAACTGTCACACCCACAACACACTTCCTTGTGTAACACATAATCTACTGTCACACCCCAACACACTTCCTTGTTTATATAATCTACTGTCACACCCCAACACACTTCCTTGTGTAACACATAATCTACTGTCACACCCACAACACACTTCCTTGTGTAACACATAATCTACTGTCACACCCACAACACACTTCCTTGTGTAACACATAATCTACTGTCACACCCACAACACACTACCTTGTGTAACACATAATCTACAGTCACACCCACAACACACTTCCTTGTGTAACACATAATCAACTGTCACACCCACAACACACTTCCTTGTGTAACACATAATCTACTGTCACACCCACAACACACTTCCTTGTGTAACACATAATCCACTGTCACACCCACAACACACTTCCTTGTGTAACACATAATCTACTGTCACACCCACAACACACTTCCTTGTGTAACACATAATCTACTGTCACACCCACAACACACTTCCTTGTGTAACACATAATCTACTGTCACTCCCCAACACACTTCCTTGTGTAACACATAATCAACTGTCACACCTAATAACACACTTCCTTGTGTAACATATAATCTACTGTCACACCCACAACACACTTCCTTGTGTAACACATAATCAACTGTCACACCCACAACACACTTCATTGTGTAACACATAATCCACTATCACACCCACAACACACTTCCTTGTGTAACACATAATCCACTATCACACCCACAACACACTTCCTTGTGTAACACACAAACAACTGTCACACCCACAACACACTACCTTGTGTAACACATAATCTACTGTCACACCCCAACACACTTCCTTGTGTAACACATAATCAACTGTCACACCCACAACACACTTCCTTGTGTAACACATAATCTATTGTCACACCCACAACACACTTCCTTGTGTAACACATAATCCACTATCACACCCACAACACACTTCCTTGTGTAACACATAATCAACTATCACACCCACAACACACTTCCTTGTGTAACACATAATCTACTGTCACACCAACAACACACTTCCTTGTGTAACACATAATCAACTGTCACACCCACAACACACTTCCTTGTGTAACACATAATCTACTGTCACACCCACAACACACTTCCTTGTGTAACACATAATCAACTGTCACACCCACAACACACTTCCTTTGTGTAACACATAATCAACTGTCACACCCACAACACACTTCATTGTGTAAAATACATAATCCACTATCACACCCACAACACACTTCCTTGTGTAAACATATAATCCACTATCACACCCACAACACACTTCCTTGTGTAACACATAATCAACTGTCACACCCACAACACACTACCTTGTGTAACACATAATCTACTGTCACACCCTAACACACTTCCTTGTGTAACACATAATCAACTGTCACACCCACAACACACTTACCTTGTGTAACATATAATCTACTGTCACACCCTCTAACACACTTCCTTGTGTAACACATAATCTACTGTCACACCCACAACACACTTCCTTGTGTAACATATAATCACTGTCACACCCTAACAACACACTACCTTGTGTAACACATAATCTACTGTCACACCCACAACACACTTCATTGTGTAACACATAATCCACTGTCACACCCTAACACACTTCCTTGTGTAACACATAATCAACTGTCACACCTAATAACACACTACCTTGTGTAACACATAATCTACTGTCACACCCTTAACACACTTCCTTGTGTAACACATAATCTACTGTCACACCCCAACACACTTCCTTGTGTAACACATAATCTACTGTCACACCCTAACAACACACACTTCCTTGTGTAACACATAATCTACTGTCACACCCACAACACACTTCCTTGTGTAACACATAATCTACTGTCACACCCACAACACACTTCCTTGTGTAACACTATAATCAACTATCACACCCCACAACACACTTCCTTGTGTAACACATAATCTACTGTCAACACTCAATAAACTATCACCACATAATCTACTGTCCCACTTCAACACACTTCCTTGTGTAACACATAATCTACTGTCACACCCTAACAGACTTCCTTGTGTAACACATAATCTACTGTCACACCCACAAACACACTACCTTGTGTAACACATAATCAACTGTCACACCCATAACACACTTCATTGTGTAACACATAATCTACTGTCACACCCACAACACACTTCCTTGTGTAACACATAATCTACTGTCACACCCACAACACACTTCCTTGTGTCACTATAATCAACTGTCACACACTAATAATCCATTGTGTAACACAATCACAACAACACACTTCCTTGTGTAACACATAATCTACTGTCACACCTAATAACACACTTCCTTGTGTAACACATAATCTACTGTCACACCCACAACACACTTCCTTGTGTAACACATAATCTACTGTCACACCCATAACACACTTCCTTGTGTAATACATAATCCACTGTCACACCCTAATAACACACTTCCTTGTGTAACACATAATCAACTGTCACACCCACAACACACTTCCTTGTGTAACACATAATTACTGTCACACTAATAACACACTTCCTTGTGTAACATATAATCTACTGTCACACCCACAACACACTTCCTTGTGTAACACATAATCAACTGTCACACCCATTAACACACTTCCTTGTGTAACACATAATCTACTGTCACACCCACAACACACTTCCTTGTGTAACACATAATCTACTGTCACACCCACAACACACTTCCTTGTGTAACACATAATCAACTGTCACACCCACAACACACTTCCTTGTGTAACACATAATCAACTGTCACACCCACAACACACTTCCTTGTGTAACACATAATCCACTGTCACACCCACAACACACTTCCTTGTGTAAATACATAATCTACTGTCACACCCACAACACACTTCCTTGTGTAAATACATAATCTACTGTCACACCCACAACACACTTCCTTGTGTAACACATAATCAACTGTCACACCCACAACACACTTCCTTGTGTAACACATAATCTACTGTCACACCCACAACACACTTCCTTGTGTAACACATAATCAACTGTCACACCCACAACACACTTCCTTGTGTAACACATAATCTACTGTCACACCCTTAACACACTTCCTTTGTGTAACACATAATCTACTGTCACACCTAATAACACACTTCCTTGTGTAACACAT